CGTTCAGTTTATATCTGGCAGCAGCTAGGATCTTCTCCTCTACACTGTTGACAGTGAGGAGACGTAGTACTCGTACTTCGCTCTTCTGACCAATTCTATGTGCTCTGTCCTGGGCTTGTAAATCCTGAACAAATGATACGATACAGTAAATTGTAGTTTTATGGTCTATGGGGGTTACCCTGTGTGTTATGTGCATAACTTGTTACCTAATTGCTCAGGGATATTGCACAGACCTGATTATTTTTCGTTTGAAACCTGTGCATATTAATTGCCTATAAACACAATAATTAAAACAATTTTCCATGATATCTCAAGAGCCACTTATTAGATTCAAGTGAAACTTGGTGAATAGATGTTCTCTACCTGATTATTTCGGGGTTGAAATCTGCACACATTAATTGTCCATTAATTTGGAAACTTAACAGAATTAAACTTGGTACATAGGTAGTCTGGATAATTAATTAATTAGGAAACTTAACAGAATTAAAGTAAACTTGGTACATAGGTAGTCTCTGGATACTCCATGTACATGACTAGTTTAGGATTGAATTCTGTGCATATTAATTATCTAATTTGAAACCGTTACACAAATACAATTAATCAGACTGCAAACCGCGCTTCTACAATCAAATATATTTTTTTTTAATATTTCTAATATAAACTTCAATTTTGTAGATGAGAGTGCTTTCACAGTGTGCATCTTTCTTGTTTGAAAGGCTAATCTTTACTTTTTTGAGTAATTTCAAATATTCCTTGTTTCTACTTCACGCGTCTCAACACATTGTCACCATTTTTTTGCTCTGTTTCGCATTCTTAGAGAGCATGCATCTCATACCTACCTGATGTGGATTCCAGTCACTATCAAATATAATGACAGTGTCAGCTGCTTGCAGGTTAAGACCCAATCCACCAGCTCTGGTACTCAGTAAAAATATGTTATAAGGAGAACCGGGAGCGTTGAACATTTCTAATAGTTTGGCTCTGTCATCTGACTTTGTAGTTCCATCCAAACGTAAGTAACGGAATCCTGGTGAGACGGAATAAGAAACATGTTCACACGTTGTAGGGTTTATAAGTGTAATTTTATAGGACTAGGCAAATATACTGAAAGTATAAATACAAAAGCATACATAAATTCACTTTTTGATATGACAATCATGTTGTATTAAATGACGTAAGACATGCTAAGCACATGTTTGTTTGTTTTTAGGAAAATCTTTACCGTAGACAAAGACAGAGTTCATTTGGGTTTATTAAGTATAGCACAGTGATTTGTGAGATACTAATCATGGCCATGATGTTAAGTTTTATTTGACAGCATGGCTTCTGCCTAAAGAATCATGATGAATGCATGCATACAAGTGCTGGAGAGTTGAGGACACTAACACTGTCACCATAACAACAAGCATGTACAATAGATTAACTACATAAGTAGTAAAACAAGAGTTCATGAGTGTGTTTCATGAGAATTGCAGCATATTCAAAAATTTGATGTTTACAAATAGACATACCTCTGTGAGCAAAATAGTCTTCTAAGATAGTCATGAGTGTGGTCATCTGACTGAAGAGCAGTGCCTTGTGATTACATGCTTTCAACTTGGGTAGTATACGATCCAATAACTCAAATTTACCAGATGATCGATACAGATCTGCTCCTTGTACTATGCCACCAGTTTGACCGAGATGTTCGCAGAATGCTTCCTGTAGTCACACAAGGCACCATTTAAATGATATTCACATTAAAAACAAAACCACAATAAAATAGAGTACAGGGCAAGTGGTTCACTACTCAACAATTCTATAAAGCCAAACTGCCGTAACAATACACACATTAAAGATGATAAATTAATACATCTATCTATAATGACATTTTTCTTGCGGGAACTGAGTCAAGGTTTTGTTGTTCTGGTAGTGAGCACACAAAAAAGTACTACATACACAGTGTCATGGAATATTTAGTTGATGATAATTGCGAACATACCTCAATCTGTGGAAACATAAACGGATGATTACACAGCTTTCTCAACTGCATTATAGTGTTCATTAAAGTCTTGGTGCCACCTTTACCCTGCAATTACAAAAACACAGGATTTAACAATAATAATGTTTATACTACATTCTATGTGGATTTATACACAGGTGATGATAGTCATAATGATTTTAGGCAATAGTATAGTCCCCAATTAGATTAGAAATCAAAGTGAGCTGCAAAGACATACATGGTAAAAACTGTGTACACTACAGATACACATGTACTACATGGTCTCGCAGTGTGAACAATATATCAGTACAATTTTAAAATTGAGTATGGTCAGTGCCAAAAATAAAATCAACTACCTAATGTCATTGGTAATGTAGAAAGACAGACAACTAACTTGTGTCATACCATGCAATGCAGCCTGAATATACGGTGGTTTGAAACAATTCTGTATACTGTAAAAGGGTTAATTATTCACTGGGTTTTAATTTTGCTTATTTCGCAGACTGGAAAATGCGCTAAATTAAAACCCAATGAATATGTAAAATTGGGCATAGAACACATTATCTAAATGATAAAACTGTGAATTTAAAATCCAGTGAATATGCCCGAAATGCTAAATCAGTGAAATTTAAACTCAGCGAAAATTCGTCATTTTACAGTACTGTATTTGTTCTATAACAAGGATGTGTCTACAAAATAATTTGTAATAAATTTTAATGATCTAGTACACAATAAATGCAATGTTACGTTTGCTTTAAATAGTACAAATGCAGTATGTGTATTTACAAATTACATACATTACCCATGAATACCCGAGCTAAATGTTTCAAATAAAAGATGAATGTGCTTGTAAATACAGTTTCCACAAACTCACCTTTTTGTCTTTTTCAGAGCCATCTGTGAGAAGCACTCCATTTCGCTGCATATGACGATATAAGACACGCTGTAATGCTGACATGTCACACTTCATGACATACTCCACCTGACAAAACAAAATACTAGTTACAATCCAGAGCATTGACAATTCTGAAACATGCTAGGCTTTGACCTTCTTCACAATCCTTTAATAATTTTCAGATGATACTGTAAAAGGATTAATTATTCACTGGGTTTTAATTTTGCTTATTTCTCCGACTGGAAAATGTGCTAAATTAAAACCCAGTGAATATGTAAAATTTAGCATAGAACACATTATTTAAATGATAAAATCGTGAATTTAAAACACACTGAATACGTCTGAAATG